TATATAATTTTATTGCCATTCCTTCTTTTACAAGAATGTAATTGTTTAGCATAATTGTATCCTAATTTTCGTTCCATTGTTTACTGTAGTACAGGGCTATTATTGCTACAGACTGGCTTCAAAATAGCCACATATTTTCATCATACCATAGTACTTCGATGCAATGAATGATGTGATGTATATGATCCATGAGATTATATCTATTTCATTTCGTTATAAGCAGTGAACCCAAAAATATCGCCAGCTATAATCGCTCGATACATGTTCCAAAAATGTCTGGAACAACAAAATGAGCGATTTACTGCTGAGTGTCTGATTTAGAAGTTACTTGTATAAGTTTGTATAGCTCGACTGATCATTTCTCACACATAAGGAGACAAGCATTTCCAAAGTGAATGGACTTCAAAAGCAGTCATGTCGTATCAGTCTTATCGATAATGTTGGTATCATTAGGTGAATGGCTTAAATAGTATGCCTGTTAAAAGAAACAGTACTCTAAAGAAAATCAAAATTCATGACAAAAGATTCCATTTATCTTTTGCAAGATTACACAAATGATATTTTTATATAGACAGTTAATACTTGCATTAGTGCTAGTATTGCAGTCTTGCACTCTCTATCCTTGCAATCACTTTCTTTCAAGGCCTAATAATAAACTGGATACAAACATCCTAGTTTTATCTAGTACAGTAATTTGAATATGTCTACCTAAGGGTATTATTAGAGGCATTATCTGTTAATAACTTTGATAGTAGATATTTTTTGGATTAAATCATGACATTACGGGAAGAAGTCAATAGTGATTAGTTGTATATGTGTGTACTTGAATATTTGCTTGTATTTCCTTATGAGTGTTTCTGTTTAAAAGGTGTTTTGGGGGCAGGTTTAACGCCATTTTCCGCACATGATAGACTATACATGGCGACCAGCATGCTTTGGTAAAGGAACAACCCGAAAAACCACAGGAAAAATCACAGCCCGATGGGACGCTACTGGGCTCAGGTAACGATTACTTTTACTATACATTGTCTACATTTGTTTCTCAGCACGCAGCATTCCCTTGTGTCCAAATGATAATAAATCAGATCGCATTCTAAAGTACCTTCAAGGATGAACTCAATGTGAGTTCTTGTCACTCGTTTCCCGGCATTTTGTTTTTAATGATGGGCTAGATTATGCACAAAGCACCATGCATTGGGTCGCACCATACATTGGGTCACAGATTTCACTACCGGATGATTATAATTGCCTCATGACTCATTGCGCTCTGTCGCCAAAATACACACAGATAACCACACAATAATGATCATATTATAATGGAAAAACAGTTATCTCTAAATCAACACTAGGAATACCTAAATCCAAATCTCATATCACGCTGCAGAAACGAGATGTGTGAAGGATCTGTAACGAGTGCCTTAGACCACTTGGTCGACCGGTGATTAAATATGGATGTGCAAGTGTATTTGCTAAAATATTTGAGGGACACCGAGGAGAATAGCTTTTAGATTAATTTTGCAACCGTACTGAATTAAACAGTTTAAGCTGCTGCTGCTGATAATGATGATGATGATGATGATGATGATGATGATGATGATGATGATGATGATGATGATGATGATGATGACCAGGATGCTATTCAGAAGAAAGATTGCCATTTTGCGCGTTCTGTTTTCCAATGACCTGCGTGGTAATTGTATTTGCTGTAATAATTATGAAACGGCAGACAGGAAATTTATTGTAATTGCCCTAGGATGCATTATTTGTTTAATGAAAACAGTGGGATGTAGAAATATGAAGCTTATCTCTGAGTCATGCAGACGCTTTTGGAATTACTTTTTTACGTCAGTTTATTTTTGTTTGTAATACATCAAAAGGTTCCAGTCACACTATAATGAAACCTTGCAAGATTTATTAAACTAAGGTAGCTGAATATGTAGCAAAAAGTGACACAGGTCTTTTAGTTTAAAAGTGGAATAGTGTTGAACGTCTATGAGAAGAAGAATACATATGGTCTGAGGCCTCCTCATTTTCATTGAACATTTCCGTTTAATTTAAAATGCAAAGATGACAGTGAAGGACCGCTAGGATACCTTTTTAAGACACTGGTGCTTTTCTCTTTTCAATCTGTGGGTTGGGACAAGCTGCGGGCGTATTGACTGAAACTAAAATAAATGAAAACGTTATAATAAGATCCTACCTATTGTCAATGAAATTCGTATACTTATTGTTTATCCATTATAACTTGAATCAAACAAGCTTAGTTTTCATTTTTTTTTCAACGTTACAAGATAGTGGTTTATTTACGTCTTATTTTATTTTGAAACACTGAATTCGGTTCACCCCATGCCATACGAGCAAAGTGCTTCAAACTTTGAAACTTTGGAAGAGAACAAGATCTTCAACTGGAAATTTAAAGTTGCATCATTTTTGACTAACCGTATTATGTGATGGAATTGATTTCATATATTTGATGAGCTAATACTTATTGTAAATTTTAGAGATAGTCAGGCCTATGTCTTATAACACCACGTCATTAGATTCTTTATAGTCTGTTGACTAGTTAGCCATTTTATAACTAAACTGACAAAATTGAATTTATTTAAACGTTGCATTATTAAAGTTATGTAAGATTCATCATGTCGGATTCATGTACGAACCTGGTTATTAGGATAATAACCTTGCAAAGTAGTTCCAATAAAATGCATTATGTCAGAAGCAACTCCAAATGCATGTGCAATGTACATCATTCCATTTGTACATGACCGTACACGGCTTTAGTCCTCATATCTTCATCTGTTTGGGATGTCTAGAGGTGTGCGAATATATATATATATATATATATATATATATATATATATATATATATATATATATATATATATATATATATATATATATATATATATATATAATGTGTACCAATTTGAATTTCTACGGTTGGACTGTTTGAATGTGTCTGGATTTGGAGGTGTGATTTTGGCATCAGAGCTGGTATCTTTAATGCAAATTGGTTGGACTCGAAGTGTTTTTGAATAACGCGTGTGACGCATTCGGTGATGACGTAGGCTAGGAGAAAGATAGTGGCTGTTTTGAGTTGAAGGACCTGAGTTTCGGGACCAACGAATTGGCAGCGACTATAAGAGTTTTCAATATCCTTTGGCAGATTGTATCAGTGTGCATCCAATTTGCGGATCAAATATTATTCCGTATTTGTACACACTCCATACTGTATTTGAACTTGGTGATAAAATCACATAATCAAAGTTATGTAAATTCAAAAGTAGATTAATCGAAGTGGTAAATTAATCAGTGCATATATTTGTTTAATTTCTAAACAATGATCACTCATGGTGATAAACTATCTTACAAACATATTGGTTTAACTTTTTTTCTTTAATTCTTGTTGATTTCTCCATTAAGTTTCATTTTTATGATTCGTTCAAGCGGGAGGTCGTGGGTTCAAACCACGGTCAAGTCCTACCAAAGACTTACAAAAATGGTACTAACAGCTGCCTCGCTTGGCGCTCAGCATTAAGAGGTTAGTGTTAGGACTGGTTGGCCTGGTATCAGGATAATGTGATTGGGTAGGCATCACTTCGTTCAATCCATTGTAGGAATTTTTATGCGCATGCGTTTGAATCAGATTTGATCATTTTTCAGTTATATAATAAATATTTCATTCATTTCGTGTCTTTGTTCTGATCTAATACCAATCCACTTGGTCATCCTTATATGCCTACAAATATGTACAAAATTTGGTCTCCAGATATAAAACATACCTTAATACAAGTTCACATATACGTAAATGGACAATAAATTTACCAAAAGACTGCAAATGTATAATTTGTGATGGAAGAGGACAGAGAAAGATTTATACACCCGTTCCCCCTCCCAAAACTCCCAAAAAAAATAAAACAATTATATGATAAAGTCACTTTTCAATTCAAAGTAAATCACTCTGAAACTAGCAACATGAACAGGATACAGCTCTTTAATAATGTTAGGAGTGTAAATGGGTTTTAATTATTCAAGATGAATAGCCCTGAACAATGCACATTTCTGATGCATTTATGCCTGTATTTTGCAAACTGTAGATGGCTTACCGTCTTTATAAAGCAGCATAATCTTGCATTCGTCATTACCCTCTGGTCATAATTGGAAGCAACCCGACTCACTATTTCTTTGGATGAGAATACCCACCCACCCTTTCCCTTTGATATTTTAAAGACTGATAGACTATGAAAATTACTACAGTGTAATGTATAATTGTAACCATTTTTATCAGACGTCTTAACAAAGCTACAAATGTCATATTTAGAAAAAATACAATAACGTCTATATGATTCCGTACGTTTGACTTTCCAGGAAACAAATTTTCATTAGTACGGTATTTGTAGGAGGATGGAAAAAATGCATTGCAAACAATTAATGGGATTACCTTGTACAACGTCATCTTCTGTTTAACTGATGTGCACTGGTACACGTTATAACATTGCCATCAGATTGGCTCTGGATGTTGATCACCTTGGGTTTATAGTGTTAGTACTTATATTGATTTGTTAACTACAGGGCCTCTGATACCTTCATAACTCATTTTCAGCGAAATTCAATTTTCCGAATCATCGATTTACAACGAGGCGTGATAATAGTGGTGAAAATGTTGATCCTATCATCGGGATGTTACTATTTAGGAATTTTATATTTTCTGAAGCAAGCATAAAATTGGTGTCCCGTTAGTGTTAGTGTTAGCGGTTAACCAAAATAAACGCTATAAAATGGAAACGAATCTAAAAATATGTGTTTGTGATAACAGATTACATAAAGAATATGGCGTAAATCTGGGAGCATGAACGACTGTATATATATATATATATATATATATAGATAGATAGATAGATAGATAGATAGATAGATAGATAGATAGATAGATAGATAGATAGATAGATAGATAGATAGATAGATAGATAGATAGATAGATAGATAAACACACCTCTCCGGTGGCCTAGTGGTTAGAGCGTCCGCCTCTGATGCGGGAGGTCGTGGGTTAAAACCCCGGTCAAGTCATGCCAAAGACTTATAAAAATGGTACTAACAGCTGCCTCGCTTGGCGTTCAACATTAATAAGTTAGTGTTAGGACTGGTCGGCCTGGTGTCAGGATAATGTGATTGGGTGGGGCATCATGCCACATGTCTGCGGCTTGATGTCCCAGTGCTAGACATCCACACTGCAGACATCATAGCTATATGACTGAAAATTTTTAAAGTTACGTTAAAAATTATAATCACATTATTACACACACACACACACACACACACACACACACACATATATATATATATATATATATATATATATATATATATATATATATATATATGTGTGTGTGTGTGTGTGTGTGTGTGTGAGAGATGAGAGAGAGAGAGAGAGTACGTGTTGGTTAGTAAAAACGTAAAAGAAGAAAAGAGTGAAGCTTTGTGTTTTAACAAAATAATTTAATTCCAGGTAAAACAATGTAAAATTGTTAAATATGAATTACAGTTTTTGAATATAATTTAAAATTTGATCCTAAGAATGAAAACAAACGTTTTCACTAAATAGTTCTATTAGAATCCAGGTTCGAATCTCGACGACGTACTTATATGGATGGAGATAACATCAGATGTGGTCCAATGAACGAATATCAACAATTCCTCACTTGAATCACAAATTTTGTTTCCGAAAAACTCCAGAATAAATTTCCTTGAATATATTTCAATTTTTTTTATAAGAACGTCAACTTGTTTTGTTTCAAGGAGTACAAATTATTGAATAAAAAATCATATGAAAAACAAACAATCTGACAACAAATAAAAACGACACCTTGTTCCTTCAAGATATTAAGACGACTATGCCAGAAGAATATTAAGAAAGAGTATTTAAACCCCAAAAACGTCATTTCAAGTCTCCCGATATTGGTCATGTGGTCTCTTACTGCAAGATATCCATAACGAACGCCAATGTAACCCCATTTGAAAACCAGTCATCAGTCATAAATAAACGTTGTTTACACATGGTGATCTTGGTGGAAAATATGGTCCTGATAATGATAATAAAGAAATCGGAAAAGCTACACGCAGTATACCTTATTAATGCATTTATTAAATGTACATTTGCTTTTAAAATTGTTGGTTTCTACGATCTATAACTGAAATGGATTCATGGAGTCAAATAATTTGATTTTATAGATCGACAAGCAGTTTTAGGAGTTTAAAAGAATATATTTAACCTTATCTTTTCATCGTTTTATGAAACAAATTTCATTAGTGGAATTCACCTTCCCATTTTCTCTCATGTGTGTGCGTGCGTGTGTCTGTCAGTCTGTCTGTCTGTGTATGTGTGCTTGTCTGAACTATGGACCTTCTTTGTTCCTGTTTCAGAAGTCTTCCTCGTCAATGAAACCTAGAGTATGTATATAAATCATAAGAGTTCACTTATTATCTACAGTGTAGATGTATACATCAGAGTACACGCATAGTTTATAGAGTAGGTGTATGCATCATAATGTGCGCTTGTCAACAGAGTATGTATATATATATATATATATATATATATATATATATATATATATATATATATATATATATATATATATATATATATATCGTAGAGTACACTTGTCATCTATAGTGTAGGTGTGTAAATCATATAGTTTACTTGTCTGTAGAGTAGATATAAATCATATAGTACACTTGTCTATAGAGTAGATATAAATCATATAGTACACTTGTCTATAGAGTAGATATAAATCATATAGTACACTTGTCTATAGAGTAGATATAAATCATATAGTACACTTGTCTATAGAGTAGATATAAATCATATAGTACACTTGTCTATAGAGCAGATATAAATCATATAGTACACTTGTCTATAGAGTAGATATAAATCATATAGTACACTTGTCTATAGAGTAGATATAAATCATATAGTACACTTGTCTATAGAGTAGATATAAATCACATATTATGCTTGTCTATAGATTAAGTGTGTAAATCATATAGTGCGCTTGTTGTCATAGTGATATGTAATCATAGAGTAATTGTCTATAGAGTAGTGTATACAATTAATATAGATAAGCAATGTTAAGAGAGCATTGAAAACTCATATGTACTGCAGCTTGTCTTGATATCAGATCTAATAGATCATGTGTACTCTTGTGCTTAAGAGGAAGAAGACAAAATTAAATATAGAAACATGTCATATAGATAATAAAAACATGATGTTTACAACTTACATAAGAATCATAAACAACACAAAACACTACATAATAATATAAAATATATAAGTAATTATCTAATAATAATATAAATATAATAATAATATATTATATATAATATATATATATATAAACAACTTCAAGAGACAAGATAAAATATCATAATTAAGTATCACTTTTCGAATGATTAATGAAAAAAGTAATGCATGTACATACAAATAAAATGTTCTAGTAACCTATCAAATGAAGTATTCTCAGACTAGTTTAGTAAGACACTTTTTGCGGCAAATTTAGGGATAAGGCTATATTTGTAACGATTTTGGCTTGAAGGACTTAAAATTGTAAGATTGTTTAAAATTGTCGTTATCTATATCTTGACTTGGTTGTCTGAGTTTTCGACTAAATAGTGCACATTGAGGTAAAGATGAAGGTGCAAAAGGTGAAGATCCGGAGAGTGAAGATCGGTGTTCGTTGCTGATGTTTTGTTTACAATTCAGCCTCTCAAAAAAAATGCAGGTCAACCCTTGACAAGAACTAAACCGTAAAGTCATCTTTGAAGGTATTTTAGATTAACATATGATTTGTATTGATTGTCACACAGTGGAAAGTTCCTTACTGAGGAACAAATGTAGAGACCATGTAGTAAAATTAATTGTGTACTATGGCCTGTCAGTAAAAACTTGAAACTGATATAAATTTTTTATTATTAATGACATATATATGAAATTTTAATATGTTATGTCTATTGACTATAAAAATAAAAAAAAGAAATTAGAAGTAAAAAAATAATTTTAATTTTAAAAATTTAAATGAAATTTAACAAACAATTAAAAAATAAAAAATTTCCACCAAGTATACACATATATAATATTTTTTGGGAATGATATTAATTGATATCAGCATATATATACTCCTACACCATACACAAGCTCAAATCATGGATATTTGTCAAATTTGATCAGAGAAAATATCTTTATTAGTCAAAATGAGACCCTCATTTAAAATACATGAAGACAAAATTCTACTTTGCTTTGTACCTTTAGGTCATTGAAACTATTTATTTGGGGTTCAAACAGTTAATTTATGTGTTTATGATGGGGTGACTTCCTGAGTAACACATATCTGCTTGTATAGCTATCAGTAATTGTTTATAACCATAGTTATAGGGTATTTAGTGAGAGGAAAGAGATGAAGACTTTATACTAGAACCTGTTCAAGTTCTCTACAAAATCATATTAAGCTGTCAGAGAATGAAATACAGGTCAGAGGGGTAAAATATACTTTACCCAGGTATATTTACCATTGCATGTAAGAAAACAGCAAAATGATGTAAGTTGAACACAGAATGCATTCCATTTTATTGTTTAGTTTCTTTAAGATGTTGATTGATGTAGTGTGACATTGTAGCCCAGATGATATTATGGGAATTCTCATGATCCATTTTGCTTTATGCATTATTAATGACTAATAATATTTGTTATCTGACACTTTAAAGATTACATAAGTAATATTCAAACAGATTATTTGAATTTAACTTTCTACAACTGATCCTAACATAGTTACATAGCTGACATGAACAAATATGCATATATTTTGTAATGTTTGGAATCAAAAGTTGACATTGTTAGGCTGACATGGTTACCTATAGTGAATCTGTAAGGCTCAGTTTTGACTGTGTGCACTTAAAATATCCCAAGATGTTATTTTCATCATGAATATGCCTCTGTATGGTAACACATTTCAATTTAGTACTTTGACAGAGGGCGGTATTGCAGCATCAGCTGATATTTGATTCCATTGAATCATTGAATCATTGAACTTAATAACTTGGTAGCCAAGACTCTTAAAAATAGACTAAAAATGTTCAAACAGATTATTTGAATCATGTTTGCATATGTGATTTTAGCAAGTACATTGCATATGTCCCACACATGCAAATATCCATCCTTGTTTACAAGTTTTCGGGATGAAAATTTCACATTTAGTTGATGATATAGGATCTATTGATACCTATAGTTGCTCTGTGTGGCTACATTTTGCTATATTCACTCACAATATCTAAAATTGTTTTTCCTTCATGAATAAGATTGCATATAGTAATAAATTTTAATTTGGTACATTGTCATTTGACTTTCCACTATACTGGTATGTATCAATGTTTGCACCAATGATCAAACCTCACCGTTCCAACATTGCCTTAAACTTTATGATACATACTCTACCTGATTAGTTATTTAACCTGTAAATGGCTAAATATGCTTGTAGAAACTTCATCTATTTTTAAGATGCATTTGTCACTATAATACATGCCCATTGCTTCACATCTTTGAGTGTCACTCTATCAAGTTTACCTTTTTAACCATATTTGCAATCTGAATATTATTTTGAAATCACCATATCTAACACATTTAACTTCATTTGCCTACATCTTCCTTTTTTTAGAATTAAGTGAAACATGTTATATATTTTCAGGTCTATTCTGGTATCTGGAACAAAGTATTAGAGTTGGATCAATTTGGAAGCTCTCCAGTAGTCCAATGGTGATAGCAAGGTCTCATAAGGACATATGCAGTGTGCTGTTATAAGTAACCAAGATGAGTTCATATCAGTACACTGATATACAGCATCTCAAAGACATGGCTTAGATCTTTATGAGAGAGATTTGCATCTTTTTTTCAGTAAGGTGAAACTGTATTTTCATATTGCATTGTTGACTTTTGTAGTTATCGGCATTAAAATGGAATGCATATTTGCTATAAAACATGGTAGTGGTCCCATCAAAACTTTAAATTTGAGTGGGATATTAGA